AAGGCTATAAACACGCAGGCATCTCTGCCGTGGCAGGCTGACATTTCAGAAGATGATTACATGCACGATTTCACCAGGGCCGTGCGTGCCCTCCAACTGCCAGCGCTTCAGCAACTGTTTTCACGTTGGCTTTCTTGTTCATTCCCCCCCCCCTTTTTTTTAAGTTGAGCACCATTTTTCCCAGCTCCTCATATCTGTAGCTGAACATGATTTATTCAGATGAAATTAGGCTCTGTTTTTATAAAGCCCAAGTTACTGCAAATGATGCTTGAGGTTTCGCAGAAAATATGAATTCCTGATCAGCGGCCATAAAGCACCGCTGTGGAGCTCGAGGCCTGCCCCCGGGACCACGGAGGCGCCGGGTGATTGACACCGAGTCCTCGCGTGCCTCCCGCTCCTGCCCAGTCTTCAAGATGGACCTCCGCCTCCTGCAAATGCACAGCTGCTCGGCTTGATAAATCACAGGACCCTTCTTTTCCATCACAGTTATCTGCTATTTACTGCTTCGAGGGGAAGTGAATCACCGCAAGGATGTCGTGTGCTGCGTACACATCCTTCCTTCTCCTCGGGCACTTTGCCTGTTTCCACATTCCCGCGGAGCACGCTTTCCCGCGCAGTGCGTCCACCCTGGGCTCACCTGGACAAGCAAGCCTCCGGCCCATTTATCTTGGTTCTCCTCACCCCTCTCTACCCACTGACACAAAATCCATAAGAACAAAAGACGCCTGAGAGGCACACACTACCAGGAGAAGGTGGAAAGCACTGTGTCGTTTTGCAAGTTGAGGTTTCCTTGTAATTGGCTTGTCTACCATACTGAGGCTTTTGCCCTCTCTTCCTGCCCTGGCCTCCTGATGTTTTTCATTATTTGAGGCACCACCGCGCCTTTGGTATAGCGGACACCCAGCGGCGTATAACAGATGAAACACTCTACAGTTGATGCTAGAAAAGAATGAAAAACAGGCCACCCCACCTACACGTGGCCCTTCCCGTCGTGCGGGTGGCAGGCGTAAGTTGGGGGAAGTCAGATTTGCTTTGTGACTGTGATCATCTGTGGACACACTGGCTGTTCCGGCTGAACCGTAAATGAAGCTCATCGCTCAGGCCAAACAAAGCAAGGCCAAAGGTTTTCTTTGGGGTTGACCACAGATAATTTTTAAATTTCGGTAATGAAACATTTCATAGTTTTAATTTATCAGGGTTGTGCTTTGGTTACCATGGACTTATACACTTTAAAGCATACAATATGAGCTACCAGACACCCGAGTTCTCCCAGAATGCCTACTTAAAACAGGAGACCGGAGAAGTGAAAAGACAGGCAAGACTGGCCTTCAAAAGATGCTTGGATAGTCTCTCCCCTCTGACACCTCACAGGGATGAGCCTTCTACGGTCCTTACCAAGGACAGAGAAATGCCATCCCTTTGCACTGTCACTGGCCTACCAGGTCCCGCCTCAACGCCTTGGAGGCAGGCTTCCTGTCCTGGAGGCACAGAACAACAGCAGGCTTCCTGCACTGTAAACCCACATCCCCCAAACCCTGCCGACCAAACCCACTTCATCATCAAGTTGCACATCTTGAAACAAAACAGCGCTAAGCCCCGCAGCAAATGTCCTTGGGCCTGGGCACTCCAGGTGGTTGTGCGGCCACATGGAAGCAGGACGGGCCCCGCGGAGCTGTGCACCATGACCTGGGCCAGCCTGCGCCACCCTGTTCAACTCGACGTGCAGCACTCAGGACACACCCCTTAAGGTCTAAACAGTGTTCTGTTTTTCTGGGATAAAAACGAAAGTGCTGCCACATATGGAATTTTATATGAAGAGATGGTTAACATGCTGAAAAATGATAGTTTAGAAACTAGAATAGTCTGTGTATGAATGTGTACTAGGTGAGTACCAGGCGATGGGCAGCCAGTGATACTGGGTTAGATCTCCACCTCGGGAAGGTCAGAACCTGGGGCGAATCTTTACTCAGTTCCACCCCCACCCGAGGGGTTCCTCTGACAGGCAGACTGTTAGGCTGTCACCAGGAGTCATGCCGACTATTTCCTAGAAATTACTGGCTTCCTCCAGATTAGGTAAGGTGGTAGGAAATGACTTCTGTCTCTGAGTCTCTAACTTAAGACCCTAGAAAATGTGAGTCCAATGAATTCAGTAGGTGTTCTAAGTCCTTATTTGGAAGGACGGTTTCCGATGGCATCTCCAAATGGTTACAGATGGTTCTCACTTATGGAAATTACACGTGTGGCCTGAGCCAGGGGACACAGGACAGGAGCAGCACAGAGCAGGTAGCTGCAGACAAACCGCTGCTAGGCCAGCAGGCGGAGAAACTCATTACTTTGAAATGAGCCAAGTTCCCCCAAGTTTTAACAGAAAAACTATTATATTTAAGAGGGAAACGCTCTACTCCACAGGAAGATAGAGAAGTTTGTAAGAAGAGTAGTGACAACGGGGACCTCTGTCTTTAGGGAGTGGACGGTTTTCTTTTCACGTTATTCTGCACTTAGTCATGCAATCAACAGGGGCCCAGGTGCTAACTTACTAGCTGATGAACTACGGGGCTTGACCAGGAGGGTTGGAGGGAATTTCATAACAAAGTCAAAGGGAATAGTGCTGCTCACCACCCATGTACCTTTCTACCCAGGACAGGGCCACGTGTCTTCTGGGAAGAAGTCCTAATTTCTGATTGTATCTTGCAACCAGGTCTTCAAAGGGAGCCCATACTTTCCTAAAATAGGTTTGATTCCTTCTACCAGAGGTCATAATGACATTTTGCATATATATATATACAGCTTTATTGAAATACTAGAGGCCCGATGCATGAAATTTGTGCAAGAGTAGGCCTTCCTTCCCCCGGCTGCCGGCACCGACTTCCCTCTGGCACCCGGGACCCAGGCTTCCCTCGCAGCCCCGGCTTCATCCGGGAAGTCATCCGGTCTAATTAGCATATTATGCTTTTGTTATCCCATATAATAAAAGCCCAGCGACCAAAACGGCAGAACAACCAGAATGACCAGAGACCAGAACTACTGGCCCTTCGCCCAGGCTGGTCTGCAAACCGCTGAGGCCCCTCGCCCAAGCCAGCCCCGGCCCTCCAGCGGGGAGCCCCACCCCAATCAGGAGCCCCCACCAGGGCAGGCCAGCCAGCCCCCACCCATGCACCAGGCCTCTATTCTATATAATAAATGGGCAATATGCAAATTGACCCCAACGGTGGAACTACCAGAACTACCGCTAGACCAGTCACTATGAGGCGCACTGACCACCTCTCAGTCTCTTTCTCTGGCCAGCAGGCTCCAATCGCCGGCTGCAGGCAGCCAGGGAAGATGGCCCTGATTGCAGGCCAGGCCTAGGGACTGTACCCATGCATGAATTTCGTACGCCGAGCCTCTAGTTATAGATAATTTATCACCATAAAGCTTACCCATTTAAAGGATGCAATCCCATGATTTGTAGCATAGTTACAAGGTGGTGAAACCATCACCATGATCTAATCTTAAATTTTCGATGCCCCCAAAAGAAACCTGGCAATCATTGGCAATGGAGCAATATTGTGAACCAAGGACTTTCTCTTGCTTTTCAGGGCATTTGGTTGAAGAAATCACCTAAGAAGCCAAAGTGAATGAATGGCTCAGATTTTAAGTGTTTCAATCCAGAGCCTCTCCTCCTTCTACCCACAGACTCAGAAGCACTGCAGTCCCAGCTCCTGGGAGAGTCTGGGAAGGAGCTGCTGAGGAGATGCGGCAGCCACCTTGGAGCACGCGAGCTGGGGCAGGCTTTTCAACAGCAGTAAACATACTCGGGCTCAGCCCACCACCAGGAGGAAACGCTTTCCACCCGGGTGCGCAGAAAATGTGCCCAAGTGATGGGTTTTCCCTTGTAGAAGCTGAACTGATCTTGGTTACATAGTCAATTATTGCTCATCCCACACAAGAAGAACTGGTAAGGAAGGGAGGTGGTGACAGTCCACTAGGTAACACTGAGGTGCCCACCAGCCAGCTGTTCTGATGCAGTAAGAACCTCAGATGTGCAGAGAAACATCTTTACCTCCTGATAATTCTTTTTTTAAAAATATATATTTTATTGATTTTTTTACAGAGAGGAAGGGAGAGGGATAGAGAGTTAGAAACATCGATGAGAGAGAAGCATTGATCAGCTGCCTCCTGCACACCCCCTACTGGGGATGTGTCTGCAACAGAGATACATGCCCTTGACCGGAATCGAACCTGGGACCCTTCAGTCCCCAGGCTGATGCTCTATCCAGTGAGCCAAACCAGTTAGGGCTTTAAAACACACACTTATGCGCGCACACAAACACACAAGCACACGTGTGCACACACACACGCACACGCAGAACCTTAGCAAGTGAAAAAATAAAAAACCAACAACAAAAAAGGGCCTGATCTGCTCTCAAAAGTAACTATAGATCCTATTCAACTATTTTGACACAGTAAAGCCAGATGTGAGACACAGTTTGAGTGACAGTTGATTAGGTTGGTAGATCTCATTCATAATACAAGTCAGAAAACCAACCGAAGCGCGGCGCGAAGAGCCAGGCACTCAGGACCATGAATTGGGTGACATGCATAAAGTATTTCAGGAGAGAATCTCATTGAAAGCCAGACAGCTCCCGGGGAAATGATATGGAAAAAGTCTGAAGAAAACATCTCAAAATAAATGAAGTACTTATTGCTGAAAAATGAGCTCAGATCGCAGCCAATTCCAAAGTTCAGAATTTACTGCGTGCTGAGGCCTTTTCCTCCAGTTCCTTGTCTCTTGTTTCACTAACAACAAGGGACTCTCCACACTTCCTGTGAAATACAACAAGGCGATTTTTGCAGTAATAAACCCACATGGGCATGACAAATCCAAGCACGCAAAACGTTTAACACCCCAGCTCCCAGACACTTGAGGGACAAAATCCGATTATGAATTATATGCTACAATAAATAGGGCTCGATGTTTCATAAAGCAATTTATAGTTCATAAAAATGACAAAACGTACCTGTCAGACAGAGCGTGGAGCGTGGTTCCCTGGGCTGCCTGGTGGAAGAAAGGGCAGAGATGTTTATTTAATATTCTGACTTCTAAATTACGTGGTCAATCAGCACTTAAAAAAACCCGTGTCACACACATTTTTGCCATGTGGCCAAATATTACTAGTAAACTACAGGCAACACAGTAAGAGCTCTGTCATCTTATGCAGTAAGTGCTCCTGTAGAGTTAACTGAAGCCCCTGCAGTGCCCACCTGCCACCAGGGGACGAGCGTGGGGAGGCAGGAAGTGCCAGGCTGGTGAGGCTGGACAGGTCTCAGGAGACGGTCCCCCCCAAAACCCTCCCCAGCTATTTCATTTGTATTCCCTGTTGCTTTATTCTACTTTCCTGTAAGAAAAAAATAATCTGTTTTGGTTCCTTTATAGCACCTCTCCCAATGAAGGTACACCTTTTGACCCAGTTTTCTGATTTATTGAAAAAGTCACCACAATTGTAACCTGGAACACTGACGGAAATATGATATTATGAGATATGGATTTGTTTTTAGGCAATGATTTTGTGGCAATTTTAAAAGAATCTTTAGAGATTCATATTGAAATATTTATGGATACCATTACAGGATCTGGGATTTGCCTTGAAACAATATACTTGGAGGGGAGGGAGGGTGGGTGGACATGTACATAAAACAATGTCCTTGGGTTGGTAACTGCTGAAACCAGGTGATGAGCACACTGGGGATTATTATATTATTCTAGACTTTTTATGTGTTTGAAATGTTCTATAAAACAAAAAAACAAAAAAAGAAAAACGAAGCTAAAGACCTCCATTTCTCCATCAGATTTCCCCCATTTTGTACTCACTGCCTTTTGTCTGCTTAGCCTAGCTTGTCCATGTGCCCCGTGTGGCTGAGCTCCGGAGGCAGGGGGCACACTCATTCTATGTCTCCGAAGTCATTATTGGGAGGGATCACAGCACAGCCTGTGAGACCAAGGCTTACTCGGGTGCACAAGAAATAGGAAGTGCACATGGCCGTTCACCGTGTACAGGACACAGGGCACGTTTACTGTTTACCAGGGGCGCCGGAATGTTTCCCATGCCATTCCTCATTCCATGTGGATAGCAGACAGACAGAATCTTCAGATGAGAAAAACACGACCTGGCAGAAACCTGATCCCTGTCACAGAACTGAATCCACCCTTGGCGACACACAAACAGGTCTTGGATCACTCGGTCAGCCCAGCACTGGCCGGATTCCCAGCACATGGAGACCACTGCCGGAGGCTCCAGGAGGGATCAGAGCAAAGGCAGGACGCACAGTCACTGTGTTAGAGAAGCCAGTCCCTAGGCAGGAAGTCTGAACAGAGGTCCAGGGAGGACTTGAAGACACCTGGGCATTAACATGCAAGTGGAAGATGAGTGGGGGCGGGGGGGATGTGGGTGCTGGTAACTCATGGCCGCTGGGCCACGGGCTCCTCAGTCAGGGCCTGGGACGGCTGGCAGGTGCTCAGTGCACATCTGATGAGGAAATGTCAAATGGATGAACAAATTCGGGAATCCTCCTCACTACTATCTGAGCAAAGCTGCAAAGACAAGGAGGGATGTGTTCAGGGGAAAGAGGCATTGGTCGCTCCAGACTGCAAGGTGGAGCCAGGGCCTCCGCGGCCAGGCCTCTAGCAGCGGTTCTCAGCTGGGGCACCTCTTGCCCAAACAGCAAGGCTATTGGAGTTGAGTAGGGGTGTTTCTGTGTCTTAACAGCAAGGGGGGTCACTACTGGCCATTGATGCCTGGGGCCAGGGATGCTATAGCCCAGCCGTGGGCAAACTACGGCCCGTTTGAAATGAATAAAACTAAAAAAAAAAAAAGACCTTACCCTTTTATGCAATGATGTTTACTTTGAATTTATATTAGTTCACACAAACACTCCATCCATGCTTTTGTTCCGGCCCTCCGGTCCAGTTTAAGAACCCATTGTGGCCCTCAAGTCAAAAAGTTTGCCCACCCCAGGGTGGGCCCTGAATCCAATGACAGGGGCCCTTAGAAAAGGAGACCCACAGACACATGGACGGCCGTGTGAAGAGGGAGGCAGAGATGGAAGTGATGCTGTCAAAAGCCAAGGAATGCCTGGAGACTCAGGAAGCGGGGGCAGAGGCATGGAATGGCTTTTCCTCAGCACCAGACGTAACCAGCCCTTCCAGCACTTTGACTTCAGACTTCTGGCCTCCAGAGCTGTGGGAAAATAAATGTCTTGTTTGAAGGCACCCAGATTGAGGTACCTTGTATGGCAGCTCTGGGAAGCGAAGCCTCCCACCAACTCTGCAGGGTAGCTGCATTTCACAGGTGAGGAAACGCACGGGTCAGGTGGGGCTGCAGTTCCCACGCAGGCATCTACTTCCAGCTCTCAGTCCCAGTCACTGCTGGGCTACTGCTGGGTTTGCTTCTGTGACCTTGGACAAAACTCCCAGCCTCTTTTGTAAAACGAGAACTGGATGCTGGTTCCTAAAGTTGCCTCCTAGCCTTGATGTCTCACTTTTGCTCTTTCCTGACCAGAGGTGGGAGATGCAGAGGGTGAGGAAGTGGCTGGTGGGAGGGCGTGAGAGGGGAGTCCAGGCCGAGGAGCAAGACGGGTGTTGGGGAGTGTGCACGTGCAAAGGCCTGGAGGAGGAGCAGAGGGAGGGAAGTTTGAACCAGGAGGGAGGGTCTCAAAAGCCAGGTGAGCACTGATTTTCTGTTTGAGCAAACAGCTATTTGCTATTTACTCTTTAAAACAACTTCTAAGGCCAACCTTGAAATGATGTTTCTTGTGGTTATGTTTTTTGGGATGGAGAGGATTTTTAAAACTCCCAAGCCTATTGATTAGCTCATTTATTACACATTATTTTCCCCAGGAGATAATTTAAGTTGATTTACTTTTTGTGCTGCAAGGGTGACTACAACCAAATCTAGAAATATAACAGCCATTCAGACTGCACTTTTATGCAATGAGCCTTTTGATATTCATTAATCACATAATCACTGGGTAAACAAGTTTTTCAAAATGACATAAACTCTGCTGTGTTCTGCCAAGGAAGTTATATTTGTCCCCACTTTGCATAAATCTGCCCGTCCATTCCTTTCCTCCCCAGACAGTCCCCATTACACAAAATTCGCTCCGTTCCCTTGACTCAGCTTATTTCCTCCTGCAGAGTGATGAGGAGCACTGCTTTTGACGTGGAGAGTCTGTTAGCGTCTCCTTGGCCTGGTCCCCTCTGGGTGAAGTGTTGCCAACACTGGCATATTTAAATCAAGAGGAGATGCAACCTGGCTGGGCACGACTCAAATGCTGCTTCCTCCAGGGAGCCTGTGCCAGCACTCCCCTGTTCTGTTCCCTGCAGCTCTGAGCCCTGGCGATCTCTCCTGGACCCCGGGCACCCGCTGCACCATGCAGTCCCTCTGTCGTGTGTGGCCTTCATCGCTGAGCAGCATTGTCTACCCAGAAGCCCCAGGGACCACTCCACCTTTCCCAGCCTCAGTTTCCCCATCTAGCAAATGTGAGTCAGTCACAAATGCGTAGCCACGGCATTGTGGACAGATGAGCTGGTACGTGGGCCCAGCACTGTTCCTGGCTCTTGGCAGTCCTCAGTCAGGGACTGCCATAGTCCTGTGTGCTCTCAGCTCCCATCCCCTCCTGTGGGGTCTCCCACATAGGAGATGCCTGGCAGACAAGCAATGAATGGAAAAGTAGTGATTTATAGGATTTCCTCTTTATAGGAGGAGGTTAGAGGGAGAAAATAGTAACCCTGTTCCAAAATATGGCTTTTAGAAGACATTTTGAAAATTTCCATTTTATTGTGCCCTTTTTTCTCTGCCCTGTAGAAGCAGTCAGTAAGACCTAGTGAAAACGTAGTGAGAGTCTAGAGCAGCCGTGGGCAAACTACGGCCCGTGGGCCGGATCCGGCCCGTTTGAAATGAATAAAACTAAAAAAAAAAAGACCGAACCCTTTTATGTAATGATGTTTATTTTGAATTTATATTAGTTCACACAAACACTCCATCCATGCTTTTGTTCCGGCCCTCCGGTCCAGTTTAAGAACCCATTGTGGCCCTCGAGTCAAAAAGTTTGCCCACCTCTGCTATAGCCTCTCAAAGGGCCGATGGGTCCCTTGTACAATGAAGTGGCCCCCTTAGAAGGACAGGGGTTTCTGTGGAGAAACACCGCAGCAAAGGCCGGAAAGAAACCTGACAGGAGCGACACAGGAACTGAGACTAAATCAACAACAGGAACTTGGATAATTCCCACAGGGACATAACCACACTGACTGAGGAAAACATAAGCTCTGTTGACCTGGGCACTGAAAGTCTCCATCCTGGGAGAGGTTCACTGTGCGTTTATGTGAGCGCCTCAAGACTCAGCTTCCAAACTGCTCTTTCTACCCTAAGTGGGCTGGTGAGGGAGCTGGCCAGCCATGTCCAGGCTCCAGTGGACAGTTTACGGGGTTACTGCCCCTCTCTTTTCTCTGGATTCCTGTGAATTAAGGGCCAAATGCCAGGGCATTCCAGTGTCACGAGGGGAAAGAATATCCACAGAGCGCTCTCTTACTGAGGACACCTTAGAGAGCAGAACGAGGCGCGGAAAGAGGTGAAAAGCCTCAGGAGGCCCTGGAGACCAGGAGTCCCTCCTCCTCCCCCCGTACCCCTCCCGTCTTCTCTGTGCTCTCGGGGGGGGGGGGGCAGCC